CCGTGTCCAGTTATCATCCCAGAACAATTTGAATAGAAATTTGTTTCAAAACATCTTATATGAACATTGTGGGTTTTCTGGTTCACTGGAAATCAGTGTATGGTCATTTTTAACATATTGCATTGTGGGATACAATACCCAGTACACTGGCAATCAGAAAATGTGCTCATATTCTAAAGTAGTATTTACAGTACGTAGTCGTTAGGTACAATTATGTACCTTTAAGGTACTAAAATGCACTTTTTTAGGGGTAAGTAAGGTACAAAGGTATATCTTTTGAATGGGTACTATCCCAGTGACAGCGATCATTGTGTATTTTTGACAGAAAGTTCATGCATTTTACACAAAAAAGAGACAACCAGACACCATTTGCTGAAGGAAACATGACTTTAAAAGGTCATGTGACATCAATGTACCATGCTACTGTTTGATATGTTTAGATACTGCACCTATTTCACATATATTTCCTTTTTTTTCTTTTATAATGCGCGATAATCACACTGTAAAAAATGACCGTGAATTTAACAATAAAAGACTGTAAAAATGCTACATTAAAAACCTGTTAAATGGTTAACGGTAAATTCCCCTACTATATACGGTGAAAAACTGTATTGGACATTACATGTATTGGACATAAATTTTACGGTAGTATACTGTTTTTGTAAGTGAAAAAGACCGTATAATTTACAGTGAATAACTGTAAATTGACATTCCCAGAATTCCCTGCGTTACATTTCAAATTTGATGTATTTTTGTTGAAATAACTGTTTCTTCTTAGTTTTTTTCTTATCAGTTTTGTATATTAGGGTTGTGTGTTACACCTAATGTTGTCAAATTAATGTTTATTGTATGATTTCAGTTTCATGTGTGTTACCGTGATGGTGTTTAGTGTCTGTGTGAAGGACTATAGGTTGGTATATTAACATTATATCAGTTAATGAAATTACGGTATTTTACTGTAAATTTAAGTTAAAACCGTAAAACCTAAAATGTTGCTATTGTAGTTTTTACGGTAAAATTCCGGCAACCACAGCTGCCGGTTTTTTACCGTAAATTCTACAGATTTTTTTTTTACAGTGTACCCTCAGTGAGTAAAAAACTACTTAAGATAAAAAAAGGGGATAAAAGCCTTGAAAGGAGACAGATTTACATTGAATATGCCAGGCAGTAAGCTAGTGTTACATTCCACACAGAGCCAGAGCTCCAGCTGCACTTTTGATTGGCGTTTCACGAGTGCGTCATGTGACCCGCAGAAGCATATGCCCAATTATCATATGAAGAGAGTTCTGCTTCTGTTCGATGTGTTTAATTAGCTTAAGCTTTATGACTAACACGACTAACAGGTGCTGTACTGTTTCCTCTGACATGAGTCAGCAACCTGTGCTCTTGTTGAGAGTGCGTTTGGGAAGCAGTCACCAGAGCAGAACCACAGCAGGAGCCCCGACTGACTCACTGCTCCTCGTCCGCCCATCCATCCATCAATCCATCCGTCCGTCCGTCCATCCGTCCATCCGTCCATCCGTCCGTCCGTCCATCCGTCCATCCGTCCATCCGTCCATCCATCCGTCCATCCGTCCATCCATCCATCCATCCGTCCGTCCGTCCGTCCATCCGTCCATCCGTCCATCCGTCCGTCCATCCGTCCATCCGTCCATCCATCCATCCGTCCATCCGTCCGTCCATCCGTCCATCCGTCCGTCCATCCATCCGTCCATCCGTCCGGAGTTCTGCTTCTGTTCGATGTGTTTAATTAGCTTAAGCTTTATGACTAACACGACTAACAGGTGCTGTACTGTTTCCTCTGACATGAGTCAGCAACCTGTGCTCTTGTTGAGAGTGCGTTTGGGAAGCAGTCACCAGAGCAGAACCACAGCAGGAGCCCCGACTGACTCACTGCTCCTCGTCCGCCCATCCATCCATCAATTCATCCGTCCATCCGTCCATCCGTCCATCCGTCCGTCCGTCCATCCGTCCATCCGTCCGTCCATCCATCCGTCCATCCGTCCGTCCATCCATCCATCCATCCGTCCGTCCGTCCATCCATCCATCCGTCCGTCCGTCCATCCATCCATCCGTCCT